ATTTAATTACATATTTCTCCCATCCCTGTGAGGGTCAGAGATTTTGCATTTCTCTCTGCCATATCTTCAGCACCTAGAACAGGGCTTGACCCAGAAGACATGTGTTTAATGAGAATGTCCTTAGACTAAATTTTTAGCCCTTGATACAGACTTATAGCACTATATAATTTCAGCACATATAAGTCTTATTGCTTTAGATACTAAGGTATTTAAGAGGAAGGATATACACACACACAAATGGCTTATTGTCATCTGCTGCTGCACATTTCCCCCTTCCCTTTTTTCTCCCCCATGCTACCATGACAAGGTACACCGTAGAAAAGCATGTGAAGCTTCTAGAAAACCTGAAGGTACAGAAGTAGACCAAAAGAAAGAGGTAATAAAAATCAGTACCCACTTAAACTTATGTTCATATCTTACGGTTGAATTTCAAGACAAAGATGCTTTTTTGTTTTTTTAAATAACCTTTGCTCCAAATTATCCTGCCACATACTATCTGAATTACTCTATTTCACTTTGTTAGACTACCCAGAAGAAAAAATTTGTGGTTAGCAAGTATCTTCTTTATAAAACCACTTCTTCTGGAAGAGTTAATCATCTTTGAGTCATTCATACCTAAGTATGAATTCATTTAATCCACTACTGTTCTTCTGTCACTTAGCTGAGGAAGTTTCCCTGGGCAAATAGAAACACACAAGGCAGTGGAGGTATACCAAAAGGGAAGAGGTCAGATGCCAAGTTATTTCAGAATTTTTCCGAAGGCTGACCTTTCTTTCACTATACTCTCTGTCTCCCACCTTTCTCTTCTAAGCAGCAAACATATTAAAAATGAACTGAGAAAGTTTAGCATGAGGGATAATTGTAGTGATTCAACCCTTCCATTTCTTGACTATGGTGGTGGTTACATGAACAGATAACATTTCATGAAATAGCACAAAATACACACACACATAAGTGCATGTAAAACTGGTGAAATCTGAACAAGGTGGATGGATCGTATCAAGGTTAATTCCCTGGTTTTGTTATTGTACTGTAGTTACTATGCAAGATGCTACCCCTAGGGAAAGCTGGGTGAAGGATATATGAGAGTGCTCTGTATTATTTCTTAAAATTACATGTGAATCTATAATTATTCTAAAATAAACTTTTCAAAACAAATTAACTGAAACTGTTTTCATGTAACAGCCAGCTAGGCCAAGGGGTAGGGAGATGAATCCATCTAATTTGGGAAAGTTAGGCCAGTAATGATAGTCATCATAGTGGTTTAAAGTAAGTTTCAGTGAAATTTGTGAAAGCAAATACAAGGGCCATCAACACTGGAATTTTTTCTGTCTTAATGTTTAAAATAAAGAGAGGAATTGCAGTGGGGTAAGGAATGAGAAATAGAGGAAGACAAAAAGAACTAGGGGATTGCTATGAAGTAGTTCAATTTCTTTTGTTCCAAGGCAACCTCATAACTGGGAATCCTAAATATGTAAAGGAAAGAAAACAATCCAGCGTTTGATGTTATTAGACCTAATAATGAGTTCTTATGTGTCTCCCTTGAAGGTGCCAAACCTTGGGCACAGAATTTGTTCTCTAATTGTCTAGGAGGACAGGACTACTTCTGTTCTCTTTCTCAATCTCTGCCTCTGTCCTCTTTCTATCCTACTCACTTTGTTGACAGGTGACAATCTTGACTTAAATCCAATGCTCTATTGCAGCAAAAGAAATTAATGATCCTTAAAATTTGATTTTACAGCAAATAGCTCTTCAAAGAGTTAGTATCAGATTGCCAGCACTATTCTATTGCACACACTCATTTTTTATGCTAAGTATTCTTCTAGTTTTGTTTTTAAGGTGGCCAATAGAAATTATCTCATTTTAAGAACTTAGATTTTACTTGAAAACGTCTGTCCAAGTAAATCAGTTTTATTCTGGTGGGAAAATAAAGTCCATTGCCTTTAAAACTTCTGGTTAAATAATTTTTCAAAGCTTATCTCCATTATTCACCAGAATTATTGGAGCAGTTAAATTGGGCATGTAGTACTCAATTTTAATTAGGTATATTTAATTGACTTCCAACTTTAGTAACTTTTAATTACAAACAATTTGCTGTTCACTGAAATTTATATAGTAGCATGCTTAATCAGTGTTTTCCATCATCTTTTGGTAAGGGTTGATTGAGTATATTGTCCAGAAAATTTAAGCTATGAAGTGAATTTTTAATTCATTGAAATAGTTTGCACCTGAGATTTTTTATTCTCTCCTCTTACCTTCAATTTGTGTTGATAGAATTTAACCATCCACACTCTAGAATTGCATGCCACAGGAATGAATACTCAGTGAAATACAGCTGGATCCTTCAGATTTCCATGCTGTATTTTCTCACTTGAAGTAGTCTTTTTAAAAAATATTCCACTTTTTGATTCAAATTGATCAATATTTATTAATTTGTAAATTTTGGCAGCCTGCTTTAATTATAAAGCAGGTAAAGTAGCTTAACATAAGACCTATATATATATATATATATTTACTTTCTTCACAATTTGTAATCTCATGTTATTTTCCCTCTTTCATGTGTCTTTTCTTTTCCTTCTAATGATATCATTCCTACTCACCTTACACTGAACTACACAATTCACCAATATGCTGAATTTTGCTGTTTATTTTCCTTATGATTTCACCTGTATGAGTTTACCCTCTCCCATTAGAGCTTACATTCCTGAGCAGCAGAGGAACTCTCTTTGATTTAGATGAGCTCTTCTATAGAACTTTCTAGGTCTCTAGCTTGAACTTTATTTAAATGATTGCTTCCCTTCTGGGCTAACAGTGAACTCCCTACTGCCTATATGTTGCCTGTTTTTAGATTAAGTGTTTCAGCTGAATAGACGAACTTTCCCAAACCACAAACAAAAGGTGTTGTTTTCACTTTGAGAAGGGAAACTCCCACCAGTATCTGTTCACTGATGGCTGGTTATCAGATTCCCAGAGAATTCCTGCCCTAAAGTTTACATAGCACTCCGTAGTATCTCACAGTAGCCTCACAACGACTCTCTGAGGTAAGTTTTCCTTTTGACTTCTGAGGAAAGCTTCCCTGGACCACAGGAGTTCAGTGTGGAAGACTTAGGACTTGAATCCAAGTCTTCTTACCCTAAGATTAGTATTCATTCCAGTAGACAGTGTCTGGCCCCAGGAAGAAGGTTCTACAGCATCAAGTCTGAGGCCGAAGCCAAAAGCCCAGACTGACCTGCTCTGTGCTCCTGCGGCTCCCTGGAGTGTGGGACAGGAGCCATCAACACTGACGTACTTCAACCTGTAATTTCTTGGGCACCTGCCCGCCTATTCATGAGCTAAACAGTCACACTCTTAAGATAATACTGGGTACCTCCGGACGTTACTGTACTTTTTCAGGGTCAACAGTGGCAAGAGGCATGGGAGAGTGGTACAGTGGAAGCACAGTTTAAGCTCTGGGGAAACCTGGGCTAACTCAAACAGATGTACCAATCTGAACTTCTGCATCACTAGACCACAGAAACCTTGAGGGCTACAAACATGTTCTCTTCTATTTAAGATTTCCTAAAGTCTAACATAGCACCTGGCACACAGTAACAATCTTTGCTGAATAAACGAACTATTTTGGGCACAAAATATAATAATATTCAACTTTAAAGTTCTGTAATTTCATATAAAAATATATGGACTAAAAATGAAACTAGAAAGTTTCTTCCAATATTTTGATATTTGGACTCAATGACAAGGTATCATAAATTCACAAAATTTAGGAGTTCCTCCCTTTAACTCAGAAAGGTCTATGTCAAATCCTATCAGACTTAATCTATGTGTTGTCAGTTTTACAAGACAGAATGAAAAGAATATTTTCAAGTTTATACAAGCCTTATTAAGAGGCTTAAAGATAAGAATTTGAACCTTGCAAGTTTAAGAGGAATTAAAACAATGGGTCAATACATATGAATCAGTTTTAATATTAGTATTATATCAAGCAGTTACTTGTAAAACACAAAAAATCCAAATTTTATGAGATGTTATAAAGACCTCATTAAAATTATTTCCTAAATGTTAACTAAGAAAGTAAAGGCAAATATTGCCTCTAATACTTAAACATTCTAAGCTGCCTAATTCAGCCCGCAGCACACAGCATGTATTCGTGTCTTCCTGCACACTGCCTCTCTCCTAGCACTGACTTTCACTAATTCTTTCGTAGAAAATGTGCAAAAAGGATTTCCATAGAGGTCTTTGGAGATTGCCTGTGTCCTCATGTGTGTAATAGGTTGGGTCAAGTAACAATGGAGGAAGAAGAAAGAATAGGGATTTTGTTTTACGTATTTTCCTCCTCCTCCTGGCCAATGAAAGGAAAAAATAATGAAAAGGAAAATTATACTATACAAATGATGTCAGTGTTAAATTAAATTAAGATCATACATTTGGCTGTGGCAGCTATAATCTTCTGATTATTGGAGAGATTGCTGGTAATGAAGTACATTTGTAAGAAATATTTTTAGTGTATACTGAGTGCATGTACAAACTGTGAGATATGCATCTAATAAAATGATAGATTTAGAAATTGCCTGGCACCTAAATTCATGCTTTTCAAACAGCTATTTATAGAAAGAAAAGTGATATTTAAGCTACCATAGTGGAATGTTATAATCTGTCTTATATTACCTTAAGTAACAGCCCCATATTTTAAAATAATGTGGTAAACCATTCAATTATTAATTCACACCTAAGTTATATAAATTGGAAGATTTTGGATTGTGCAGGAAAAGAATTATTTTTTGCAAAAGTAAGACCTCACTGTTATGCCTTAAAGAGATTGCTGTGAAACAAGTTATACTGTAGATAAAAATAAACCAAACCAACATGAATTTTTAATAAGCAAAAAATATTTTATGGAGACATTAAAAACAACTATTAATTTTCGTCTTTTCTGTTATGAAATGAAGCATCAGTGAATCTGGCCAGGCTGTATGTTTGATATGTGTTTCTCTTCCTGTTAGGTCCTTAGCACTTACAGTAAAATCTCTACAGACCTGGATGATGACCTAAGCCTGGAGAGAGCCTATGAAGCAATAGCCAAGGTCCTGCAGAGGTAAGTTAGCAGATCCTTGTCTTGCTGTCACTGTAAATTCACTCAGCTGTGAAAGACTTGAATTGTTTGAGGTCTGTCGCTTCCCATTACTGCCTGCTTAAATTTTAAGCAGTGCCCTTCTTAAGTGACCCTTTCATCTTAAGTTATTTTAAACCAATGTGGTATTTTAAAATATGCACCTCAACTCTTCTTTGTCTCTTCCTCCTTTGTATTATTTTATTTTTGATTTTCGGTAAGTTTAGTGATGACCCTGAATGAAAGAAAAAAAATCAGGTCACATCTTACAGGTTAAAGAAGCAGAGAACACAGAGATATATAGTATGCTTCAGTAACTGTGGCTGACCATGCCCTTTCCAGATCTGTTCTTTAGGAAAGTTTCCATTTATGCTTCAATCCTGCTTCTTCCATTAAGACATCTCTGAGCATATCTGGTAAACAGTTGGGTACAAAAACAATATCCCCAATGTTCATTTAAGACAGAAACTTAAAAAAGTATACATGAACAACTTCTGATACAAATTTTTCCATGGAAATTGCATGATTTTCCCTTCACTCATATTGGGATCGTGTGAGGTCCATTTAATCATTGCATTATACTGCATTGTGATTTTACACCAGATAGAATAAGAATAAGAAAAGTTATGAAAGTTAAGGCCTTGTTTTTTGGTTTGTTATCTTATATCTAAGAAACAGCTTTTTAATAATGGTAATAGTAGCTATAGCAGTAGGTAGCAGTAATAATAGATATAGGTTGTGTCAAGTTCTCATTTCTTCCTGTTTGTAAAGTCATAAACACATACAGAGTCCTGTTTTAAAAGGTAAAATTATTATTTGAAAGACATTTAAAATGTTAAATGCCTAGCGAATTGGAAGTGGGTAATCATTGTACAATTACCATTGCTAATATAACAGTCATTCAATATTAAATAAATACCAATACCAATGAAATGAAAGGTGTGCCACAAAACAGCAAATAAAATAAAATTCAGGCATCCCTGGATAAGTGGTTAGGGACACAGACATATTTATAAGGAGAGTATGGACATTTATTCAAGGAAGACAGAACCAGCCATGTTTAAAGCAAACAGCCCGTGACTCTTGTAATCCCTCCAAAAAAATATTGGAGGGACAGGCCATCAAAAACCAGCCTGGCTGTCCTTGAAACTTTTACTTTCCAGATAGCTGCTGGAAACATGCAGATGTTTGAACATGAAGAAGAGATTCAGAAGTATTCGATTTAATGTCTGTTTGGAGTACACCAACTCTACCCTTTTGTCTAATTCATTTTGACTATTAAATTATTTGACTCTAGTGTTAGCACTGTCCAGAATAAGTAGAAAACGATTGGATTATTTGTCTTGCTTTGTAGCAGCACACCTGGCCTGAGCCTCTACCATCAAAAAAGAGCATCCCTTAACTTGTTTATAAAATAACTTTTACAAAATGACACTGTGTCTCAACAGAACTAAAGAGATAAAACTCCAGGGAAAAGTATTTTATTTTATACACTACCTTAAAGGACAAGACAAGGGTTGGAATGCCCTTTGGTTACTGATGGTATTTATAATATTGTTTGAAATTTCTGTAACTATAATAGTAAACTGGTATCTCACTTGGAGTATTTTAGTCTCCCCTCCAGGATTTGAATCGCTGGTCTATACAGTAATGATGAAGGTGAGAGTTGAATGGTTATCTCGTCATTATTGGTCACACTGACAGACAACCTAATGTCTTAAATCACCTGCTTCAGTGTTACTTGAAGTTTAGGTGTGGGAAAGTACTTGACAGATCATAAAGAAGGGTAGGTTTTTGGTAGGAGTGGGGATGATCCTATTCCAACACTCTCAACAGTCTAGGAACCTCCCTTGGGGCAAAAAGATTTATCCCCATCTTACTTTTATACCAAATGAAACAAATTCCACTTATAAAAATTCCCATCTACTGAAGTACTAGTGAAGCCAGCAATGATTTGTATGGTAGACATGGATTCTTCGTTTTATGATGTTATGCAGTACACAAAAGCGTACAGGAGATGCTTCTTCTGAGGTTAGAAGGGGAACAAGGTATCCCGAGTTGACAGCAAGCCTTCTAATCCAAACCTGCCGTTCTGGGGCATTGCTGGTGGTTAGGGAGCAGCATCAGGGGGCACTGAGCCTCTGCCTACACTTTCACCATTTGTGCAAAATAACTCAATAGATGGATAGATTGTTTCAAAAACAAAAATCCTATACAGGTAGACAACAGTACCCTAGACATCTGAGAAGCCTTATTAAGTCAAGGTCACTAATGACTACAAATGCTTTCATCTCAACTTTGTACTCATTTTCAGAAAATTTTGCTTCAAGGATTTGGTGTTTTTGACACATGCATGCACACATACACACACGTATGTAGCTCCTTCATAGTCCTAAACCATCCTCAGATTAGCAGCAACTTTCAAGAAATGAAGCCACAACCAAAACAGAAGAAATTAGGGTGATGGCAGTTGAGAAATAAATCAAGCTGCATACGAAGCTTAGCATTGCCTCTAAATCTTTCTTTTTCCTAACCTGTGCAATTGTATAAGTTTCACTAATGGTAGCCCTATCTCTATAAACATATTTTATCTCTTTAAAAGAAATGGAACAGGAGAGCCATGTCTAGGATAAGTGTGTATCTCAGGCCATCAGCTGAGCATGCATGAAAGGTGAATAAGCTCTAAGGATGGAAAGCTTCTAAAATGGTTATAAGAATTTATACCGAGCCTTCAATTGAAAAACACGCCACATTCCCAGGACTTGGTAATACAGAGTTGCCCACTTGATAACGCTGGACCCAGCCCTGGCATTAGAGTTATTGATGAGGGTTTTAATAGCAGACAGAATTTGTTATTTTTGCTATTGGCCTGAATGATATTAATTGCACAAAGGGTTTCAGAAAAAAAGCATTTACAATGTCTTTTTTTCTCTCTCCTTGGAATACTGGTGAAAAGAGTTGATACTCTAAAATGATAACAATTGCTTATGACACAGCTATAAAAGCCAGAATTATGGTCCATAAAACAGAGAGAGAGAGTTGAAAAATTACCAAGTAAATATGATTATTACATACATAGACAATTTGAGTAAATACAAAGGGAAAAAAAGTCCATGATTTTCCTTAAGGTAATATTTTTTTTTTGTCTCATTTACTGAAATGCCATAACTCTCCAAATCAGGATGACTTTAAAAAAGAACCTAGGGGGAAAAAATTTTAAATGAGGGTTGTTCAAGAATCATTGGTCACATCTAGCCCATCTCTGGGTTTATTCCATACCAATTGTAGGTTTCCGTGCAAACTCAGGTTAAATTATTTCCTAGAAAACTTCCCACAGTGGAGATCTTTAAATCAATCAGTAAAAAGTTTCAAGTGTGAAAATTACCTTTCTGTTATAGCTGAAAATTAATTTCTTCTTGCTTCAGAGAAAAGACATGCCCTAGTAATTTTCATATATTCTTTAAAATGGAACATCCAGGCTTCGATGTGAAATTTCCTTAAAATGACCCCCCAAAATACATCAAAACATTTCTATTAATTCATGAAATTAACAACAGCTTTTTACATTTTCTCCTGTCACTGATTCCATTTGCCTTATTACTGTCATCTGTGGCCCACAAACTTGGTGGCACAATCCACAAACCCCTCAGTGGCTGTTTCATCTCTGCTCTATTTGATTTCCTCTCTCTGAGTAAATGATTAAGTTTTCATGCATTGGTTCAACCAAAATCTATGTTCACTCAACCACATCCTTTATTGATTACTTCTACTGCAAACAGTAGGCCAAGTGTGATATACATAATTGGACAGTTGTCAGGGGATGTGGGTGTTAACAGTCCTGTTTTCCCAGTTGGAAACTGGAATCACCTTGATACACAAATATTCTGCACTGTTTCATTCTCATTCTTTGGACCGAGGAGTCCTGTTCCTCAGAATATATGTTTTTAACTCTCTAAGGTCTGGTTGAATGAATTTAATGATTATACCATATAATATGCTGTTCAAGTTGCACCTGTGCACTGCATATAGAAAAGTGGAATTAATATTTGTCTAACATTTTAACCTTGGTCCTTTAACTTAGACAAATAATCTGTGCTTTTCTGTAAGAAAATATTTGATTCTTTCCCATCCAAAGAAAGACTGGAATTTAAAGCTAACTTTTAAATTTGGAAAACCTTTAAAGCAACATACAATGTTTATATTTCAGATGCTATATTAACAACTTTGTTAGCTGTAGGACTGTACCTTCATTGAGCAGAGCATATAATTTATAATAGAAAGACTTTTCCTCTAGCATTAGTTGTTAGAAAGAGTTCCAGATAATTTTGGATGCTTTGAAGATCTGTTGCTCCTTTGGAAGAAAAACAATTGAACTCACTCAACAATAGTTATATTTATATTGTTTGTGCTTCTTGTTTACTGAATTTGTTTCTTTGTTTGTGTATGTTGTGATTTAACAATCCTTAGCAGGCCAAACCTAATCTAAAATGTACTTCCGTCAAAAATATATCAGCTTTTAGGGACATAAACATAAATAAGCTTCAGTGAGTCTATTTTAGCTAAATAAGAATAATAATTTTTCCCTAAGACTTGAAGGTAATATGCAAAGAAGTTTTTTTTTCTTACTTCAGTAATTTTTTTCTTGAATATTACAATCCAAGAAAGAGCTTGGAGAGTATCAACTTGATAAAACATTTCTAGTCCCAGAAATACACAAGTTTGCTCAAATTCTAAGTAATATGTTATTTTATTGATTAATATTTGTATACTCTTGAGCTCTTCTCAATATTATTTCAATTGTTCCACACAAAAAAATATTTAAATTAAACTAATGAATGCACCTCTCATGGTGTTTTACTCCATGTCTGCATTTCTTCAATGTTGAAATATTCTTCAAACAATTCATAATTTTTCTGGAGAATCGAGTTATGCCTAAATGTGGAAGGTTAGTATAATTTTGCTGTGAAGAAGTGAGAACAGACATG